CTTAGTAAATGAGACTACACCACTATAGTGATATAAGTAAACATCAGCACTGATGTATAGTTTGTTTGATGAGACTAGACCACTATAGTGATATAAGCAAACAGCAGCACTGATTTATAGTTTGTTTGTTGTAGTTAAGCAAAAAGCGAGCCACCGGTTTCGAAACCTGGTTTCTAACGTTATAAGTCCGCAGACTTACCGTTGTGCCACTAGAATAACTTGTGAATAGAGAGTAAATATATTGTTCAGGTTGTATAACACCTTTATTAGTTAAAATTTGGGTTGAAAATTCTACTTTTGTTTCAAAGCTCTAATCTTATTCCGTTAGGAAATGTTTCCTGTAAACGTGTCCTGACTGTTAGTTTGAATTATCTTAAAGTATGTGTGTAAACAAACACACAGTTGGGAAATATCGTACAACAATAAGAATAAAAGGTAAAGTACTTTTGTTTCAAAGCTCTAATCTTATTCCGTTAGGAAATGTTTCCTGTAAACGTGTCCTGACTGTTAGTTTGAATTATCTTAAAGTATGTGTGTAAACAAACACACAATTGGGAAATATCGTACAACAATAAGAATAAAAGGTAAAGTACTTTTGTTTAGTAGTGCTGACCTAAACTATTTATTTTCAGTGAGATATGTATACAAAAAAGTTGCTCACGTTTCATGTTGTTGCTGTCCTTGTGGTTACTCTAATAGTATACGATAAATGTTGTTTGTCCTTCTCTGGACTAGTTGATAGACCGAACTTTTGTGATCACGTAAAAAACCTTAGAATATTTCATACACGCATATGCCACACCTATTAAGACATGTAAAATATTGTCAAGCTATAAGCATAAACTATACTTATTTAGTCGAGTTTTTTCTTATAAATGACGGAGTTATGCAGTTTGTAATATTGTGATGAAGGTCAAAGCTATTATAAACCTTCAAGATCTTGTGGAGGTCTGGCAAGTGAGATATGAATTCAAAATACTTTTTTTTCTTGTTAAAAGTTGGTATAAAAGAATCAAACCAAAACACGAAAAGCACAAACTTGGTTACTCTACCAGAAGTCACAGCTACAAACATGCTGGTGAGTAGTGTCTTATGTAAACTTCAGTTAAACTTTAACTGGCTAACTGTTAGAATTTCATTTAGTTTTATAATCGTGGAAAAATTAGACTATAATATTAGTCTATGATGCAGGATTGTATAAATATAAAACTTAATAACTTTGAATTCTTTTTTATATTTTACAGTTTTGTTATGTGAAAGCATTCCATTAAAATAATGAATTAGTTATAATAATATTATTATATTCTCTCTGTAGTTCGTCGCTCTTTTCCTTGGTCTTCTCGCTTGCTCTCAGGCTGGTCTGCTTGGAGGCTATTATGGTGCTGGTGTCGTAGCCCCTGCTTATGCAGCAAGTTATGGTGGTCCTGACCCTACCGGTGCCTTTGCTGTAGCTCAAGGAGCTGCTGCTAACCGCGAAGGTGCCATCCTACGTGGAGTCCCTGTTGGACGTGCCGCTGCCCATTCTACTAATGTGAACCACGGTGGATTCGGTCTTGGCCATGGCTTTGCCTTGGGTGGACTAGGCTATGGTTATGGACTTGGCGGTTTGGGTTACGGCTATGGAGGTTTAGGTTACGGTTATGGGCTTGGAAGTTATGGCTATGGACTTGGACTGGGTCATGGATACGGTTTTGGCTTGGGCAAGGCCTTGCTGCACTAAATAGTAAGTATGAAATAACAAAACTCTTATTTTTTATAAGTAGTCTTGTAAAAAAGCATATAAAACTGTGAAAAATAATTTACATGCTGTATTTATTTGATATGAAATTCATTATTTCCGTTAGATGGCTTTAGATTTTGCTTATTGCTAGTTCGCATTACATGTACATAGGAAACACTTTGTTAAGTAAACCTTACTGAAACGAACTCTTTTACCTATAATTTCCGTCTTTAGAACAATTTTCATAACCTGATTAATAATCCTTGTTTTATATGATGGTAGTGAAGGTGTTAACATATCAAAAGTAGATTCACCATTCTTATTGGATGTCTCATTAACAAGCTCTTTTCCATTTATAATATAATATAATTGTAGATACAGATGTTTGCAAGGGAATAAAGCTAGGTAAAATACTTGCCCAAACTACGCTCTATTCAGATTAAAATAGTTTTTACTTTATTACTGAGAATGCTTTAAAAAATCTTACTACGAATTTTACTATCATCTAAAGAAACCTTTAATAAGTAGAGTATCAAGTTGAAGAAATAAGCTAGACGTCATTACAGTGAAACAACATTTGTGTTAAAAAAATGTCGGAAATAAAATATTAATGTTAATGCTAATAAATGTAAATTATTTATTTAAAATCTATATTTCATCTCCTCTGTAACAGTTACCTTCGGCCATCGATTCCTGCTACGGACCGGACGTTACCAATTATCATTACCAGAATATTGACTATTACTTGCTTCCATCTCTTTGCTTAAGACGATTTTCTGGGGATATAAATATGATATATTTTTACGTGTGAACTGGAGAAACTCAATAAAGATATATTTGTTTATTATTTACGTGTTGTGCACTTTATTAAAGTAACTTATATAAATATTTATTTATTTTGGAGTCAAGAGTTTGGATTATACAAGCCACTTAACTGTTTTCCTTTTAAAGTAAGAAGTCTGCCAGAACATGTTTGATTTGAACCTTAAAAAAATGTGTAAGCACATATTATACGTCACGGGCATATTGACAGTACGAAATAAAAATATAATACTGAATATTATGACATATATTATATAAACACAAGTATACAAGAAAAATAAACTATCCTTTAAAGTTGATATTAAAATATATTAACGCATATAACCCGAGATCAAACAATTTTTTAGAAGACTGATCATGGAGGTATAAGGATAAAACATATATATTGTTCAAAATAAAACAGTTTCAAGTTTCTAAATATGATGATCTGTACTGATTTAATAACGACTTAGCTCTCTGTATTTCTAGCCGGCAGGAAGCTATGTTTTATACAGAGAATGCAAAAAAGTTCAGAGTTTACTTTGTAAACTTTGTTTTTACATGATGGTGTAAATACGTTTTGGTAGTTTTAAACATACAGTGCTTAAAACGAATTGATAATGAAAAAGGTTACGTTAAGAAGTTTAGGTTTCTAAAGACTACATATATTGATCAAATGAAAACACAGAAACAACTTAGATCATATCACTTTAACTCCTGGTAATTTCAGCATTTTGTTCGCCTGTAGATATTATGTAAAGAAGTTTTGTATATACGTAGCTTTCTATAACTGTATAATAAAAAAATATTAACTGCTGATCTTAGTAAACTATGTACTTAGAACAAAACTCAAGATCAATCTGGTTTTCATTGTAACTAATCGAATATACTTTTCATAGATGTCTACTTATGAAGTTTAGAAGAAATTAATTCATAAGTTGGGTACTTTTTCTGTTAATGATATTTTCGGTCGTAATCCCAAGCGATTATGTTAGTTTTGAGACAGCAAACTAAAAATATGTTGTATGCATTACCTAAGATCTGAACATGCGTTTAATATAATCTTGTGGGTTAGAAGTAAATTAATTAACTTAGTTAAGCTTCTAAATATCAAATTATACATTACTCATCATTAATATATTATTAGAATATAATTCTAAACAATGAAGTCTATATGTTTATTATATTATTTTAATAAACAGTATTATTATTATTATTTTTCAAATAAACGTCATATGACTAGAAATAAAACTAATATTCACTACTGTTGTAATAGTTGAATAATAATTTAGATTTTAAACCTAAATATTATTTCACAGTTAAACCTTATAGAAATTGAAAATAAATAAAACTTTTGTTTTTGTTCCGAAGAAGTTCTAACAGGTAATTTTTAAAGATGTAAAATTCTCGTTATTTACTTTAAAACATAAACAGAATCTTTATTCTGATTAACGCCATTTTTATGCTCAATATATTTCATCTAAATATGAAAAAAAGTTTAGAAATTCCAAAAACACTGAGGAAATATTTACATGCTATAATCTTACTTTGAACAACGACAAAATGGTCTAAAACGATTTTAAAAGATTAAAGTTTCACGATAAACACGACGTACATGAAAACGTATTATCGATTTTCAGATGGCATATATATTTACGTATTTCTTGCAAGTTTGTGAGTGTGTGTGTGGGTATTTCGATGTTAGTACCAATAAAACATTATAATATAAGCATTGTTGCGGGAAATGATCTTTAAGTGAGTTCCTTAAAATTGATTCACTTTTATATTTTACACAAGCTTAGTATATTAAAAGTTTCAGAAACATTAAACGATTGATAATTTTATTAGTAGTACTTTACAACAGATGTACAGTTCTGAAAGACAGTGGTTTTAACTTCGCATTGACAAAATACTTCAGTGCATTCAGTTTTTAGTGTATTTCATCACCACGTTAATTGTTTTTATTTTTAAAAGGAAAAGGTTATCTATGTTTTTATATCAGTTAAATTGATTGATTAATTTCACACCGTACCAGCGTGTCAAAACCATCTTTAATTTCTAAGTAAAATCGAAAGATATGAAAGGGCATGCTGAATGTGTGAAACACGATGGGCTAGTAAAAAAAAACCAACAACAAAACATTCATGATCTGTGGAGAAGCCAGCATCAAAGGGAAGAAAAAGTAATCTTGATATTCTAATGAATATTAAAATATTCTCGAAGAATTATAATCAACATTGTAATATCTAACAAACTAACGAAGAAAAAGGCCATAACTTTACAGATTGAAATAGATAAGACAAATGTCCATCATACATAAAAATGGATATATTTGTGCTTTGAAAATTTTCCTATTTTAGTATTGATGCACAGTGTTTTGAAATAAAGGGAAAATTTCACTCTATTATTATTGAAAATACATTTTCACTTTTATTTTACTGTTTCAGGGGAAGGACTATCTTTGAAGGGAGATTATCAAGGCCCTATGCTGGCTAGGCAACAGCTCAGACCTCAAACTTATCAAAAACTGCTGAAAGGTAATGTGTAATAAACCGAAAGTAACGAACTCAAGAAGTACCTTGGAACTACAGGAAGCCCTAATCCGCAAGTGGCATTAGGAACTCACTCTTACCTGCATTCAGCCCTTCGTGCACACTATGTCACGCCGATGTCAAGCACTTATTAAGGTCAGAAGGTGGCATAACCAAATATTGAAACAATAAACAGATTGTGTCACCGCTTTTTTCCAATTACATTAGTAGCGTTATCTTTCTTACTTAGGGAACATTTTTGTATTTGCCATGTATTTGTTGAACTCCTGTTGGTTTGTTAATAAAGAAGCGTACATATGTTTGGATGACTGAAATATGAGTCAGATTACATCACACAATGCACTAGTTCTAACACTTCCACAATGCACAATCTTGTAAAAAATTATAGGAACCAAGAACAGAGTGAAAAAAACATTTGAGTGATTCAACAATTTTTTTCACGACTGTATAATACACTATCACCGCGATATATCACAAGAAGATATGTAACAGCATTCAGATAAACATGTGGTTGAAATAATTTAATGGACTCATTTTGTTGTTTCACACCTTTCTTTGATCTTGACCAGCATATATAATTTTTTTATGAAATTTTAAATATATATGTTTCAATTAATAAGATTCTAAATGTAACAAATAAATGTAATAAAGTTGATGTGACTTCCAGAATTATAGGTGACGATCAGTCCATCTGGTATTCGTGTTAATAAAAAATACAAATGTATATACAATAAATATTCAAAAATTGGCATAAAGTTACGCCACGTTAGAAAATCTAGTATTACGTTCGAATCCCAGTCCCATCAAACATGTTCGTCCTTTCAAAGAGGGAAGGCTGTCAAGTGGGTTGCATCCTTGATGTAAGAAACAGCTTTAGAAACGTTGGCAGAGCAAGATCTGCCATCGGCTCGACGGTCCGCAAGGACTATGGGGGAAAAAAATATATTCTTTTCATAAGTAATTTATCGATATTGATTGACTTACGCTAAACAAGACCGAAATCACAAACTCCCAATTTTACACAAATGATTTTCTTTCAGATTCAGAAAATTTATATCTGATTAAAAGATGTTAAGCTGACTTACCTTACTATATTTCTAGATAATTAATCAGCAACCATACTTATGTATATATATACATACTCCATTGGTAGATCTCTTACAAACCTTAGCATACAACTAAGTTTATTTGTCTATTTAACAATAGTGATTTTAATATGAAACATTTAATTGTTATTGTGCTGAAATTTAATTGTTATTTGTGCTGAAATTTAATTGTTATTTTTAATAATTATACCTTATAATATATCGTATACATAGATATAATCAAACTGAGTACGTCAATGTAACAAGTGCAGTTCATCTCCTGTTAAAATAAATCAGAACTTTAAACAAAATGTTTGGCACACGATTTATGTCAGAAAAACAGTTTAACAGATACTCTCTGTATAGTGGAAATGCACACTGTTTATCCGACATTCTGTATCAGCATTATACATCGTTTAACAGAATACCTATTAGAAATGTTTGTTTGTTTGTTTTTGAATTTCGAGCAAAGCTACACGAGAGCTCTCTGCGCTAGCCGTCTCTAATTTAGCAGTGTAAGACTAGAGGGAAGGCAGCTAGTTATCACTACCCACCGCCAACTCTTGGGCTACTATTTTACCAAAGAATAGTGGGATTGACCGTCACATTATAACGTCCCCACGGCTGAAAGGGCGAGCATGTTTGGTGTGACGGGGATTTGAACCCGCGACACGCAGATTGTGAGTCGAGTGCCCTAACCACCTGGCCATGCCGGGCCAATTAGAAATGTACAGCTTGCCAGACAAGTCCGCATCGGAAATACATCCACGATATCGGACGAGAAACCATAGTAATTTACAACGAATGTTTTACAAAACGTTCCAGAGAAATAGAAATTAAAATAAAAGGCTGAATCTGAAACACATAACTGTAAAGTTAAATTAGACAAAAATTAGCAAGACTAGATTCTATATCGAAGGTATTTGAGTTTCATCTTTGTAAGTGTGACTGTTATATTAATAGGGATCCTATAACCACGAATTCTCAAGTAATGTGACGTATAAATAGTTTTGAAAATGTGTTTTTAAAATCTATTGGCTATGAACCAAATCAATAATTTTATAACGAATGTTAAGTATGCAAAATTATTTTTATTATAGCTATTTTAATATCTAGAAACTAAATTTTCGTTAACATTGTTATAATTCGTAAAATACTGAAAATAAATACTATAAACAAATTGTAGTTGCTCGTGCACGATGAAGTCTAGTTGTTTCACAAGTTACTTAGACTGTACGTTTAACCTTTCGAGTGTAAAATCTACTATTAAAATTTTCATTGTACAGTTACGGATTTGTCAGTATGACATCACGCGCTATGTACAATTAGCAATAACCGAATAAGGTGACCTTCTCACGAGAGAAAGAAAAACTGTAGCTAAGAAAGGTTGTCCTC